TTTTAAACACAAAATGAACTTTATGAATACAGTTTACAAAACCTTTTTTAACACATAAAACATGTATTACATAAGTGTAATTTTAACAGAGAAAATGGTCCAAACCAAGCGGCTACTCCACCTTGTGACCTGTCGTGCTCCACCCAGAGGCTACTCCATCTTTGCTGCTGTGACCTGAAGGCCTGTGGCTGATTAATACTATTATTAGCTTATTAGAATGATCTGGACACCTGAATTTCTCCTACGGGAATCAATAAAGTATCTATCTATCTATCTATATATTTAGATTCAGACTCAGATTCAGATTACTTTATTTACCATTGTGCAAAACACATAGGAGTTTGACTCGGCAACATGACAGTGTACATTCATCTTTATCCACTCATCAGTGTACATTATGGTCTGATACATTTGACAGTATAGTCTGGCATCTGCACAAACTGTTCTAAAATTCCTGCGGAAAGGAAGCTAATGTGAAGTAAGTTGTTCTGCAAAACTACATAAATGTGCTTATTTTAAATGGATTTTAAATGGACTTTGATGGATTTTTTAAAATTCTGCCAGTCTTGTTTTGTAAATTTTTTTGAAAATTTCAAAATTCATATTTCAATTGCAACATAATCCATTATTAATTTAGTGTTTATTTTTATTTCCTTGCAATCCAACAAAAGCCACAATATATATATATACAGAATTCTGCCCAGTTGTGTTTTGATTTGGGAATTAACAAATCTCAAAAATATTTACACTGTATCAAACACAAGATTTACATACATGATAAATTTAGTCTTCAAATCCGATGATAAAATCCTCCTGTGTAAGGCTTCATACAAAAGTGCTCCCTAGCTTTATGGAGAACTGGGTACCCTCATTTCGTCTAACTGCTTGGATCCACTGCCTCTTTTGGTCCAGGTCCGTCGGTAAAGCATGGAAAGAGAGATATGGTTGTTTTCTTGCACCACAAGAGCAACAAGGAACAGAGGAAAAACAACTGTGTTGAGATCGTGAGTTTGAGCCAAACTGACGCTGTTTGTGGATGGGAAAGCATAGCCACCGGAAATGCCTTTACGGTTCTTCGGTTTAAAACACAGAAGTGTGAAAGAGGTCCATAAAAGTGGTTTGAATGCAGGTACGCGTACTGTAAGTGCATGAGCACAAACATAGACTGTAAGACCTGAAACTTTGTATTGAGTAGTTTTGCACTTGGGCTATCATGGATCTTTTTATTGTCTTTCTGTTTATTTTTTTTCCTACAGTCGCTTAGAACAAAAGTATGCAGGAAACCACCCCTGGCAACCTTGCGTGTTAGTGTTATGACGGGAGCACTTAAACCAGTTCTTAAACCACACTTTACACAAAAACATTCTCTCTTAAAATACATCTGTGTCTTAATTTGTTTGTGTTTAAACTTTTTTATTTTTTTATTTGCGGACTCTATGTCCGCCATCCTGTTTTGCTTTGGCTGCCGTGAGGCACGCACGAGAAGGCGGTCAAACCTGAGGTTACAGCCCCCCACTACCCCACACCCACTGTTGTGTACGGAGCTAGCGTCTCACGATAAGGATCGCACATTTGAACGTGGATGGCGTGACCATAGAATGATAAAACCGGGAAGCGCAGAGGAACGAGACTTTCTTTTGGATAGCTGTTTTGTTGTGTAAGCAGAAACCGGTAACGAAGACACGGGAAGTTTCAGTTTAGCCTCCGCCGCTTGTTTACCTCAGCTGTCTTTGCTAATGAGAGACCTGTCGATTTCTCAAGAAAGTGGGGGCCAGTGGTCCGCTGTGATTGGTCACAATCTGGTCCCAAAGCAAATTCTCCTCCTTGTTGCACAAAAACTTGATCTTAAATAAAATGACAGTCCAGCACAAACCAGCGCCACTTTTTCTTCCAAAGGACTTACAGTATATCCCACTGCACTGCATGGGAATTGAATTTTCCTAATGAATACAAAAAAGAAAGTGAGGTAATGCAGCTTTAAGCTTATGTATTCTGTCATTTTTCAATGGTATACAAAAAATCATGTAAAAAAATTTACTTCTCACTGTTCTCAGGTCAAATATTTATATGCGATTGAAATGCCATAGATTAATAACAAAGCCTCTAATTAATTAGATTTTTTTTTTAATCTAGTCCGAGCCCTAGTTTAAGACATGAATGTCACTTTTAATGCAATTTGAGGCAATATGTTGATGCTTCCATGTTGTGATGTGTGGATCATCTTGGCCTTACTGATGATTTGTCGGAATTAACACCCTCCCGCTGTGTTAATAATGCCCTATCAAAGACGGCCTGCTCAATGGGCCCCACAAACGAGCTGTAATGGTGCATTCAGACCGGCAACGCTGAAACGCTGAAGCCTCGCTCCCCAGACGCGCATTCTCTAGTTTTCAGATGCAGGGGTCTTCACACCAGAATGTCCTGACGCGAGCCGGAAGTACCGGGCCGGCTCTAATGCTAACAGAGCTTTGCTAGCGGCTTCTTGTGTACAGATCTTCTCCAATATCCAGCTTTGCAGCGTGTCTTTGCTCACAGACATTCCTCGGGCTTTATACAACAGTAGTATGTGTTTACAGAGGTTCGCCATACGGTTTTTTGTATTATTAAACGGTATTTCCGCATCGCCGAACACTGGCAATTCATTAGATCCATGGATAAATTACAGCATCCAGCATGGACAAGCCCCCCCCCCCCTACACAACATCTTAAATTCAAATGGGCTTTGTTGGAGATTTTCCCAAAATATATCTCCATGTGAACCAAAACTTGCCTGTCTTCAGCTGACAGGGAACCTACAGCTTTCATAAAGGTGATATTTTGGGGGGGGGATTGAGTGTCTCTTGTAATCTTGAACTTTTTTTCTTGTGAAATCCACTGGGTTTCTAGAAAACCGTACTTTTCTGCAACAAAATCAACCCCTGGATCGTTGGTTTCACCCAGGCTGCTCGGTTCATCTCCTGGTGTGGGAATGCTTTTAATCATAAAAGGTGCAATTTTCACGTCACAAATTTCATCTCGGCCTTACTGATGATTTTTCGGAAGCTTGGGAAAACAAGCAGGATTTTGTACGATGGTGGTATAGTGGTTAGCATAGCTGCCTTCCAAGCAGCTGACCTGGGTTCGATTCCCAGCCATCGCATTTTACACACTCCCGCTGTGTCTGTAATGCCCTAAGACGGCCTGCTCAATGGGACCCACAAACGAGCTGTAAAACAGTGCCACTATATTCAAAACGCTGCAGCTCGAGTCCTGAGTACAACCAGGAAATACAATCAAATGCTTCCAGTTCTCAAGCACTGGCTTTCTGTGGCTCAGAGAATAGACTTTAAAACAGCTCTGCTTGTGTACAAGTCTCCCAATGGCCTCCCACCAAAGTACTTCTGTGACATGTTTGTGCCATATGCACCAGGGAATAGCCTCCTGTTGGTGCACAATGTCAGGACTGAACATGGGGAGGCAGAATTTCAGATTTATGCAGCTAAGAATCTGGAACAGTCTGCCTGAATATTTGGGTCAGGCTTCTACTCTGACAATCTTCCAATCCAGGTAAAAATATCTGTTGAGCTGTGCTTACCACGGAATGCCTTGTATGTTTCTTTTGTTGTTTCGTTAAACACGTTAACGATTTGACTAATACCAGGGACCAACCAGAAGGGTGCCTTGCACTTACCCAAGCCCCTGTGTTGTTGTGGCCCTCCAGTAAATGGACTGTCTCCAGGTCCGAACAGGGTCCTAACACATTACAAAATGTCCGAACGAGGTCCGAACACAATCCGAACGAGATCAAAGGCTTTTCGGCAAAGTCCGAACGCAGTCCGAACGCAGTCCGAACATACAGAAGGTCACGTGACGTTACCTGACGAAAATGGGGGCGTGTCTAGAACGAATGGAAAAGTTTGTAGTCACCTCTATCTTTCTTACGGCATATACAGCGAGAAAGCGGTAAGTGATGACACTTGATTAGTTTTCATAAATGCCTCATATAAACTGAATATCATCGCGATCCCACACATGAGCCGAACATAAACGCCACACCACATGTTAGCCCAATGCTAAACTGTGAGACAAAACTAGTATTAGCATGTTAATTAACTTGTATTTCACCTTATGCGTCTCGGAGCCGCTTTTCAAACCTAGCTTCTGACTGTGTACTTATTAACACTGTGTGGCTATTATTCTTATTACTGTTATTCCTATTACCATTATTACTATTGTAGAGAACAGAGGTAGCGGCGATCGCACCTGCAACCCCAGTTACAGGTTATTTACAAGATCGAACAAAGGCAGACAAAACTTTGTATATGATTTGTGTCAATGTGCATAAGAACAGAGACGTCATCACTTAGTTATTATTGACGCATTAATGACTAGTAGCAATGTGGGTTAGAACAAATACCTTCAGACAATAATGTTTAGCAGTAATATAGTAATTACAGAGCTCCGAAGTCCAAAACATATAGGTCAGATTCCACACTATAAATGACTATTATTATTGCTGGTCAGAGGATTTTTTTTTTTTCATTAATAGAGCCTGGTCATCAAATCAAAACAAATGTATTTATATAGCACATTACTAACAACTTTTGTTGACAAAAGAGCTTCACAAAAAGGTGCACAACAGGAAAATGATGTACAATATACAATATGAGCTCAGATTTTGCCCATGATGTGTGCCACAGTGTTTATCACTTTGTCATGTGTCTGAGCAGAGCCAACAGTTGATCTGCCCCAGTATTAATATCTCCAATACATAGCTACTTACTGTGGTGTATTCCCTACACTAGCTATATATAGATATCTACTCCGCTGCACATGGCTAACTATTCACGTGTAGTTTGACACTAACCACTTTTATATTCAATGGATGCAGATGACAAAGACAGGAAAGCCAGACAGTTACTGGAGGGACATCTGTGCCAAATATGCCCACGGCCTGTACCACTTTTTCACTGGCAAATGGCCAGGGGCCAAAAAATGGAAGAAAGCCTTGGAGAGCTTGGATGCTTACCCCCTGCAGAGCAACACTAAGGATCTGTTTGGAAGAAGCCTTCAGTGCACATGTGGGTTCCACAAAGTAGGACACATTATTTACTTGATTGTTTGCTGTTTCCTCTGGTGTTGATTTTGCTGTGTTCTCTCCTAGCTAGCACATCTGTCATCAGGCACTGGGTCCAGTGGCGCTGGCTCCAGTGGGGCTGGGCGCATCAGAGTCAGCACAGAGGAAGAGAAAGGAGGCATGGAGACAGTTGAAGGACACACAGAGGCAAGGACCGAAGACACAGAGGCAGGGGGAGTCGGAGAACACACAGAGGGACTGAGAGGAGACACAGATGCAGGAGCATCAGCAGCAGCCCCCGGAGTGAGGTGCTACCAGTGCAAGCAGCTTGTGGAGGGAGAACATTTTTCACAGCATCTGCTTGACCATCACACAGAGGAGACATGTGACAGCTGTGGGGCCAAGGTGCAGGGTACTGTTGGTCTTCTGACTCATTTCCAACAGCTCATTATGCAGCACTCATGAAGCCATCCTCACAAAGGCTAACTGTGTTGCCACCGACACCAACACCATCTCTGCTCCCTTCATGCAGTTCTGCCATGCCACCCCACACTGCAACTCCATTTAAAGCACCATCAGTTAATTGGAAAGGCTGTCTACCTGAGCCATTTAGGAGAGTAATTCTGGATGCAGATCAGGTGGGGGCCAGTTAAAACAGAAGCTCCAAACCTGCTGGAATTAACCCCCTCTAGAGCCCAAACCATCTCCTCCTGAGCCTGGCTGGTACTGCCGACAAAGGCTGTTCATCTGGGCACCAATGAGGATGTGGGGGATTCCTCTAAAATGCTCAAAATTTTCCAGAAAAATGAGCAGCTCTGGGATCTACAGGAAGGTGAGAGAGGTGATTGACGTGGATAGTCGCTACAACCTGGTGGAGGGGACTATCCACGTTGCAACAAGTGCGCTCTGCCGGTCTGCCCATGGAGCCAGGACATCCTCTCCCAGCTGGATGTAGCCCACAGGAGCATGTTTCCCGCTGTCCTCACAACACACCTGGCTCTGGACAGGAAATGCATGACCTTCCTGAAGCCGAGGACCAGCAGAAACAGCTCCTCCTACTTCCAGGCTGCAATAGAGGAAGTGCACAGCGAGGAGTGGGCACGTCAGGCCATCCGCTACCTCTCGGACTATGAGAGCCATAAAAATATGGCTACCTTTGTCCCCTCTGCAGCTGCCTATCCTCCTCCACTGCCCTTTAGGCCCCTCCCACTTGCTCAGTGGTTTGAGACAGTCCACTCCAACGACATCCTCACCCATCTTGAAGAAATGAAGGGAGTCATCACTTTTACTTATGGTAGAATTCTTAAGATGGATTCAACAAAGAAGGGCAGGGTTTCAATAATAATAAAAAATGAAATGTAATATATTTACAATAGATAAATGTGCTTACTTCTTGTGTTTGGTTTACAGATCACCAAGAAGCTGGCTGGTGGAATAGGGGGCAGTGCTGCATGGATGACCAACATCGGCAACGAGTTTGGACAGGTTCTGAACTCTGTTCTGACGACGGGTGAAGGTGCAGGGTTGGAAGAGCTGTGCCAGGGCATTGTCACCCGTTATAAGAACGTGGGCAAAGCTGAACCTGAGGTCATCTATGTGGACCGGGACTGCTGCAGCCAGTCAGGTGACTGAACATTTCTCCTTTATCAAATACATGTGGAAAAACTGTGTGCCGCTGCATCTCAGTCTCTCACTCACCTCTCTCACCCTCTCACTCATTCAACACACACACATGCAGAGACACACACACACACACATACATGCAGAGACACACACACTCAGACACATACACACAGGCACACACACACTGTTAGAATATTTTGTGTTCATTTGGTTTTGAATGTCATTAAAAATGGCTGTCTCTCACAGGTGTGTCTTCTGTGACTAAGCTCTTCCATCCATGGAGGTCTGCAGTGCGCTTGGACAGTTTCCACTTCATGAGGCGCTTCAACTGTGGTCTCACCACAGAACACCACCCTCTTTATGGCACCTTTTGTGCCATGCTGTCCTCCTGCATTTTTGAATGGGACCTAGAGGATGTGCAAGGCCTGAAGGAAACCAATGGAGGGGAGTGGAAGAGCAGCCATAGTGGACATGAGCCCACGGAGGAGCAGCTCTTGGCAACCATCACCTCAGGGAACAGAAGAGACACTGCAGGAGGAGGACACGTGGAGTGGAGGACATATGGCGCATGATTTCAGGGCAGCTGGAATCAGTGAGGGAGCTCACAGACACCACAGGGCTGCGTTTGGTGAACCATGACACCATGCACCATGTCCCGGAGGTGCAGCAGAAGCACCTGGAGTACCTCCAAGACCCTCCTGGTCTTCAACTCTACACCAAGGTGGGGACACAACATAAGGGCGGCAAAGAGCTGGACATCCTTAGGTGTGGCAGGGGGTCCTCCTTCCTGGAGAGTTTTCACCGACACCAGTGTGCTTTTATCCCAGGTACATTTGCATTGATTTTGTATTGTATGTTTTTAATGTTCTTTTCTGATATGACACACAATGTGCTGTAAGGATTACAAATAACACAGTTACTTACCAAAGTTTGACATTCATGTGTATTCACTTTACTGAACAGAGTATTGCATTTCTTAGGCTGGCGGTGCTATGCATCTCATATGCAGATGTACAGTACATGCTGGAGGGGCTATCCAGGTGGAACATGGGTCGGGTCAAGGAGGCAGTAGCTGTGGAGGGGGCCTCAGCTCTGCGAAGCTTTGACGTTTGCCTGACCACCTGAACAGCTTGAGCCAGCGTGTCCTTGGTTGTGCTCTAGTGCCAGAGTTTACCCAACCTGGGAAACCCACTGGTAAGAGAGATCTCAGAGCAACACTTGTAGACCAGAGTATTACATCTCTTCTTGCCCCCATCTTGGGTGCTAGGATTGTACTACCTGTAGGAGGTGAATGGATGGATGTGTTTATATACTTTTGTCATCTTGTGTTTGTTTTTTTACTGGTTTCAGACGAGCGCACAGCGGTGGAGTATTTATTGGGCCAGACCAACAGAGGGGACCTGCTTGCTCCAGCACCTGCCCCTGAAAACCCCTCACAGGTGCTTGAGGAGGAGGAGGCATATGCCTCCACACACATGCCCGAGCTGTTGGCTGGTGATGCCAGGGACCAGTTGTTGGAGGGTGACACTGAACCCATTGAACCTGTCACACCCGAGGTCAATAACACTTTCTCAAAAACACAATGCTAACCTCAATGAAATGTGGTTACATTTGTATAATATAAATGAATGTGAAATCACCATTGCACGCATAATAAGAGACATTCATTTTCTTGTTTTTGTCTCTTTTCAGACCAGCCAATGTGACTCCAGAGGTGTTGTGGGAGGGGAGAGTGTTGATGCCCTGGCAGCCTATCTCGCTGGCCTGAACCGCACCACCACCGCTTTGTCAGCCAAGGAGGAGGCAGAGATAGTGTGTCTGTACACAGCTCTAATGGACAAGGCACCTTCAAGGTACAAAGTAATTATTATATACTCCATAATTATACATACATTCCATTGAACGAATGAAGCATATGGATGTCTTTGTCACTGTCTAGGTACAGCCAGAAGGGTAGATAGAAGGGACAAGTGTCGACAGGACCATGGAGAGCACCCAGAAAGCCGAGTGGCATTGATGAGAATATAATGGAGTACAAAATAATTTTAGGCCTTTTTTTAAAATCATTTTCTTTACTGGATGGGCTATTTCTATCTTAAATTTGTCTCTAGCATGGACAAGGGACCACCCACAGCTCAACATCTTAAATTCACATGAGCTTTATCGGAGATTTTCCCAAAATATACTTCAATGTGAACTAAAATTTGCCCGTCAAATTTAACTCAGAATTTTCACGGTAAAGGTTTTTGGTCTTTGACACAGTGGTAGAGGGCAATATTGAGGTCATGAATCCAGTGTAATTAGTCACACACTTTCTGACAGTAAAAAGAGACAGTTGATCAAAAGTTAATTGTTTTTACCTATTTTGGTCATTTTGGACCAAAATGGGTACTTGAAACTCAAAATTACACCTTTTTACAGTAAAAAGTTACAGTTGTTGAAAATTGCCCTTTTGGACCAAATTGGATACTTTATATATCTACAGTAACAAGTTTATTTAAAGAGTAGTTGATCAAAGATTTGTACTTAGCCATTTTTCCCAAATTTCAAACATTTTCAGGTATATTCACAAAAATGTGTCTCCCCAGCGCGCCTCTGTTTGATGAGAAAGGGTGACTCCGAAAACCTGTTCTGCTATTGCCGTAAGTTGTCAACAAAACGCGCAAATTGTTTATATTGTTATTTAAAATATCAATATAATAAGGATTTTCTCATGTGGGTTGACAAATACATTACTAATTCATTGGTTTTAAGTACTATGAGAAATAGATAGCTATACAAGAGATCTGGCCTTGTGTAAATCACAAGGACTGTGTATCCATGCTATGACTCTTCTGTTCTGATTGAAAAAAAAACTGAAGGAAACTGAGAATAAACTTTCAGTTATTCTGTGAGGCTGCTAACGACACAATAGACCAGTGTTTTTCAACCAATGTGCCGTGGTGCGTTAAGTGTGCCTTGAGAGGATGTTTGGTGTACCATAGGAAATTACACTATCACCTAATTGTTCAAAATTTGGTGAAAAGAACGAGAAAGAGAAGATTAGAAAGACTTTTTTTTTCCTTGTTTGATTTTCTATACATACAATTTGATGATAATGACTTGCATTGTTAATGGGTTCGAATCCCGGTCGGAACAGGGCCTTTCTGAGTGGAGTTTGCATGTTCTTCCCATGTCTGCGTAGGTTTCCTCCGGGTACTCCGGTGTCCCCTAAGACATGTACTATAGGTCTGGCTCCCATCTCTGTGTAGAGTGAATGCCCAAAAAATAACAATTGTAAACCGCTTTGTGACTCTGGTCTGTGAAAGGCGGTATACTGTCTCCCAGAAGACAGTGGAGATGATTGTGGACTTCAGGAAGAGCACTGTCCCCCCGCCCCCCCACCTCTGTGGAGTCCTATCGTTTTCTGGGCACCATCATCACCCAGGACCTCAAGTGGGAGCCGACCATCAGCTCCCTCATCAAGAAGGCCCAGCAGAGGATGTACTTCCTGCGGCAGCTCAGGAAAGCCATGCTGCCTGCACAGATGTCGGTTTCTACACGGCCATCATCGAGTCCATCTTCACCTCCTTCATCACCGTGTGGTTCGCTGGAGCCACAGTCAGGGACAAACAGAGACTACAGCGCATCATGCGCTCTGCAGAGAAGGTCGCTGCAAGACCTGTACGTCGCCCGAGCTCGAGGCCGGGCTGGTCGTATCACAGCCGACCCCTCTCACCCTTCACATAGACTATTCCAACCACTCCCCTCAGGCAGGAGGTTGCGGTCCATCAGGACTAGAACCTCCCGCCACAAGAACAGTTTCCCTCTGTTCCCTCAGTGTCCCTCTGCTGTTGGACTCTTGAACACTTCTTAACCTCCCCGCCTTCTAGAAGTCCCCTACTGCTCTTTATGACGTCACTTTACTTCACTGTACTGCTGTCACCTTACATTGTGTGCACCATGTGCACTGTATATTGTATATAGTAATTGTAACTCTATTTTAATTTTCATTATTCCTTAGAAGTGTTTTTATTTCTTTTTTATTTATTATCTCTCTCTGACTGCCAAAGCAATGTTACTTACATGGCAATAAAAATGATTCTGATTCTAAAGATTACTTACTTACTAATAAAGGCTTATGTGTTTCATTTTCGTATCACTTTCAGCTGGTGGTGTGCCATGTGATTGTTTTCAATGAGAAAGGTGTGCCGCGGCTCTAAAAGGTTGGGGAACACTGCAATAGATGACACCATAGACCAGGGGTGCTCACACTTTTTCAGCATGCGAGCTACTTATAAAAGGATCAAGTCAAAATGATCTACCTACTACAAAAATGCTAATCATATATTTATTTCAAAAAATATTCTTTATACCTACAATGTATGTTTATGTACATGCAAAACCGCATGGGCCAATATAGCACAACACAACACAATTACCTATGTACATTTTTTGTCATTACCCGAGTTTACTCTGATGACTTGCACTGAATTGAATCGGCCAGGGAGGCATAGTCCGGAAAATTGGTGGTAACTCGCTGACAAGTTTGTCGTGGTTTAGCTTTCCTGCACTGAGCGCGGTTGTTTGCGCATGTGCAGTCACCTAAGTGTCAGTAAAACATTACTGAGTAAAACACAGATGTCATTTGACTGTGGTGCCATGTCCATGTGCCATGCCTGTTTTTTTTTTATCCAAATATTTCCCCTCCTCCGTTTATAAAATAATTTGCATCCACACATCTGCGTTATCAATCACATTCGTAACATTCCAAACATGTGCGTCTTGTTGGAATATTGAACTCCTGGACCAGTTAAAACTAGAATCAGTTTAGTATTGTTTCTGTTGCTAAAATTAATACTTAAACAACTTAAACGTCAGAAATGATTAGGTTTATACAGCACTTGTTTGTGTGGATCTCGGGGGGGGGGGGCAGTTGAGTCAAGGTTAGTCTGTGTGAGAATGGAAGAAAACAAGTGTTTTATCAGAGCAGGTGCAGGCTTTGGCAGCGGGCCAGAAGGAGTCATAGGGTCCATACAGTTGTGATGTCAAGTGACCTTGGATGTAAAGTATAAAGATGTACAGGAGCAGTCACGGGGGCCTCTTTTTTCGTCCGACAGGAGAACAGTGAGACGTCCCCGAGGCCACTCCTTATTTTGGACGCGAAGCGAGACTTGTGTTCGCAGACCGTTAATATTGTAATATTGCTTGCAAATCTTCAATATAACCTTTTGAAATCAGGTTTGGTATCTGTCATTTCTATTTACTGTTTTAACATTGGTTTTTGTCTCTTGTTGAACTAAAAGGACCTGCAGAACGAAACGGGCTGCTGTGTTTGCGGCCTCTCTGCAGCTTCTGGGGCAGGGGAATTCTGACAGAATTTACTGCAGAACTTGGCGTCGCTCGAACAGGATTCGACAGGAGACACAAGGACCGGTCAAAGAAAAGATTAATTTGGCGCCAAAGTAAAACGGTAAGAATTGTTACCAACTAATTAATCTTTCCTTTTGACCTGACCTGAGACCTAAAAATAAAAAACAAACAAACAAAAGTAGGGTGAATATTGAAGGATTTGCTTGCAAGTATTTTATATTTATTGGGATATTAGTATTCAAGTCTAAGTGACTTAAGAAAAGGAGAAAAACTGTGTGTTATCTCAGTGATTGATAGTCAACCTAAAAGGAGAACTGTGTGAGGATCTAAGTGATTTATGAGTTAAAAGGAGTGAACTGTGTGTTATCTCAGTGATTTAATAGTTAAAGGAGAAAACTGTGTGTTTTAATGAATTGACGAGAGGGAGAGGACAGGGACAGTGTCTAACTTTTCTCACTTTTAATTTTTCTCTTGGTGTGAATGAGTGATTGATGTGTTCTGTGGAAGTGACCATTGCACAACGGTCACAGTGAACGCAGTAATTTGGGTCGCGTAGGACGGGGTCACGATTCGTGCGTACATTTCCCCACCACATTTGTGGTCGAACGGGGAGATACCACGATCTGACGCCCTAAGATTACGCACCCAATTGCTGATTCTTTACATTGATATTGATAACACAAGGCTTGTAATCTAGACGGTAGAAAACATGGCATCTGTAACATTAGATGAGTGGATAAAGGGGATTATACAGTATTTAGAGGGGACAACAGAGATTAAAAATACAACAACAAGGAGCATGAGAACATGGTTGAAATCAAAAAAGAAAGATGGTATTTTAGCTAAGTCAGATTCACCCCCAAGTGAAGGGTTAATGAAACAACTAAGAGAATTAGTTTTGGAGAAACGTTCTCAAATGCAAAGAGAGAAGCCGTTAGAAAATAAGAAAATTCAAAAGTTGACAGATGAGGTTACATTGATTTCAATGATGATCAAACTAAATGAAAAATGGATGACTGCTGCCAAATTGCAAAGTACAGCTCCTGATTCTTCCCCTCCACCGTATGCTCCATTGTATCCAGATTTAACAGAATTAGTGAAAAGTAAAGACTCTGTAACAATGGCTCCATTGATTACATTTGAAGAGCCAATCAAATGTACCGTGACTAGCACAGACGAGGAGAGTCTGGACCAAAAACACTCCCAAGAGGCGCTCAGACAGGTACGAGAGGTTACGGCTCAGACTACCCAGCTTCAGAAACACATTGATCAGGTTGGAGAAATTGTGGCGCAAGTGGCTGAAAGACAATTCAATGACACATTGACAAGACTGGAAAGTGAGCTTAAAAACCACACGATTCAGGGAGGCCCATCTCACCCGCAGCATACCCCAAGGACTAGGGGAAATTCATTTGCAAATGGTTTTAATGGAAAAAACTTTATTAGTCATTCTAGTCCGAAATTTGAAGAGAATACTTCTCAGGCAGAGAAGGGAGCAGAGCTGCGAGAGCAGGGGGCGGGAGGAGTGACAGCCGAGAGGAACAAGGGAGGCGCAGACAGAGAGGCCCAGAAAGGAGTGGACCAGCACTCAGGGACGAGGAAGAAAACA